GTCTGATAGAACCGGAGGGATTCGAGCGTAAGCTGCCTGTTTGGAATTGACAGAGTTTCATTTTAAGTAACCTTTGGCTCAAGAAATCTGTTTTCTTCATTGGCTCGATGTTGTCTACCACAGTGGCATCGCGGAAGAGAAGATTTGCAGGTCATACTACATACAGGAGTGTGCTAGTGAACTATTGCATACTTGTTGGATGACCTTGCGTTTTCGGGAAGCAAACTAAACCCTATTTCAGTGTCCATTCATTGAGCTCATTCCGGTCGGATTAACGTATCCCCTAGGTATTGAAGTAGCCGCCAGATACCAAAGGCGCCCTCAAACAATGATAAAGTTGACAGCCCCAGATGCATGAACTGAGAACTGCGGTGTAATGTCTCATGAGGCTTGTGGAATACACGGCGAGTTCCAAATCAAACCAGAGTTCTGAAGGCGGGAGTGGATACTGTATTTCATTGGAGATAGGTTTACTTTCGTAAACGTAGTCAGGAAATTTCAATAAATAATTTGCTCTGTAAATAAGTTAAGTCTAAGCCGAATTACCTGACAGGATGTTGCAGAGGTTTCATATTATAAGATGCAGAGATATGAAACCGCAAGCTCCTGGATAGGAGATGAGGACTGAACCGTATGGTCACGACCGGCTGATCACTAATGTGGCTGGCTTTTACCTAAGATCAGAAAGACGATAGATTCAGGCGAAGAGTGGAGTTTTCACTGGAGAGTCAGATAAAACTTGACGACGTCGCTTGTATTCCGAGACTAGACGACGAGTGATGCTGTATGCTGTCTTGGTATGAATCGAAATCGCTGTTGACCAGAGGTTTTAACCAAAACGATTGAGCCTTTAAGAACTGGCTAGCCAGAAAAATGAATGAACCGCCCTGAATGTTCCCGAAAAACGTAGTGCTGAATACTTCCGAAAATGATGAAACTGCTTCTAGGCACTTTGGCATAGACTGGCTCCAGTCACTGTCGAATGTTCAAAGTTTGTTTGCAAACTTTTAGACCTTTTGTTATGTTTGCACTGGTCGCATCTTGATTTTAACCACGACAGCAAAATTTGAGCGGATCACCCTGTGATTCAATCATTAGCAGTAGCTCTTCCAAACGCCCAGCAGGGTCGATACCCGCTTCGCGCACATATGGAGCTCCCACAGAATCAACGTTACCTGTGATCGCACATTGATTTGCTTCCACCTGTTTCAGACCCCCTGTCTAACTCAAATTCAGCTGCCACAGGAGTGCTAATCCCCTGTCCGATCATCGCAACCTTGATGTCTGTTACGGGGCTGTCCAGAAACCGAAGTATGTTAGTGCAATGACGGCACGGTGCTGCCACACCAGTTCGATGGTACACCAGCAACTATTCTCTATCTACTCTCCACTGACTCTTTCTGTTCACTCGTTCCTTCACCGGCAACTACAAATACCCTTTTTACCTGACCCCAACCGCCTATGTGACGAGTTCATTCTAATCTGTTGAAGCATTAGTTTGGACCAAATGATCCTGGTTTCGCGTTTTAATTTCGGTATACTCTGTCCACTTGTTCAACAACTCTACGGTACTCTTTTGGCCCTGTGCGTTAGCGCTACCTCTGTCCAAAACACTTTTCACATCTCACATCCCTAAACTGGCGACAAAAATAGAACCTTGTTGTAAATTTTACTAGTTTACCGGATAATGGGGGACTGTGAAGCACTGATAATTCACTGACTAGCTTTCAAAAGCTCCCGTTCGTGATGTTTCCAGGAAACTAAGAGAGACGCAGCTGGGTTCCAGGTGAGTCTCTCGCAAAGCCAAATTTTTTTGCAAATGAGGGTATTTCGCTAAAGGTGAAACCTGATTAACCGAAATGCCAGAATTGGGTATTTTACCTCGGCGCTTCTGGCCTCCTCACAAAGATTGTAGGGCAACCTCTTGAAACATTGTGGTAAGCCTGTGAACACAATCGTAAAATTTATCCTTTTCCTCTATAATGGTCAACCTCAAATTAATGTCTCCATGGTTGGTGCGTCGATGAATATGACAAAGACAGTAGGGGGTCTGTCTTCTTCCTCGGGTGTTGCTGGCAGCTCAACTAGGGAATTCAGTTCTGACGACTAATCTCGACTCAATTTCAAAGTTTAGTTCAAGAAATATGAAGACGTGTCTTAGATCGACTTTGCTCAGTTTGAAGACGTATGACCACAACGCTTGGTCGTTGCTGCGGGAATTAAAGATAGCAAAACAGTGTAGCTTCACAATTTTACACCCCTAAAATCTCTCGTGACATTGACTCTTCGTGTGTCGTCAAGATCCCGGCCCAAGTTTCCGTTGAGCAAATTTCCTTGCTTCGTATTCATTGTCAGTGTTCGAAGATTTCCAAAATGGATACTGAGGCTTTCACCATATAAGCCGGTGTGATCAACAAAGTGCGGTTATCTCAAACCCACCATCATGACTAAGGATCAATTCAAGTGCCTCATTTTCGTGACTGGTCTTCAATCGGCACGTGTTGCAGTTGTCCGGATCCGGTTATTGGGTCAAACTGAACAGGATCTGGAGTCAATCCTTCACAAACTTACCAGCGAGTGCCAGCATCTTTACAGTCTCATGGCCAATGCCTCACTGACTGGACATTGCCACCCCTCTCAGCTTGCCTTGGTACGCAAAACAGCTTCTAAAAGTCACTCCGATCCCAGTCGGACTCCAACGAAACGACCGACACCCTGTTTGTTGCCTGTTGCACTTTTCACGTCACTGTCCTCATTATAACCACATGCGCAGTAAGTGCAGCCGAAAATGCCACAAAGAAGAAGGCTGGGAAAACAACTAGAGGAGCTCACACAAACCTCAGCTCAACAAAAGAGCGCGACACGGCGGCTGGTCATGTCATGGCGGCCGTCACCAACAACCATCTTACTTCAGTCCATTTCGGTGAATCCTGCCAGCGACCAGCGACCAGCAACGGCGTATCCGCCATCCACACCCCTCAATCCACACTTTTATGTTCAAGCGGAGAGTTCTACCGCCATCCAAATGTCAGTAGGGTTGGGAAAATTTAGAAGGAACGCTACAGCAGTCACACAGAAGCCGAAAGCTGACTCGAGAATATGGGGATTGCTGTCTACAGGGGATGCAGAGTTGAATATCGCGTTAAGCACGCAACATGAATCAGATCACATACACGGCCACATCAAGTGGTTCAACTTCAGACAGTTGAATATGGCCCCATAATGGAATCACGTTGCATTGCACAATGATCAACCCTAATGAAACATTTGGTTGATCAACCTTTAGTTAGCAAAATAATTCAAAAACTTCCACTCCAATAAACCAGTAAATCATCAAAAGTCCACTCATGATATTTCATCACATGGATCTCGGATAATATAAAATAATGAACTCTGTACATGAACTCTTACATTCGGGTGAGGATTTTGTAATTAGTTTTAAATTCCTTCACTGTGCGATGAGGTATCGTATCAGTCACATAAATTGGAGTCGACCAACATGAAAGAATATTTTGGTACCGTTTTCGAAAAGATTAAAATGATGGGAGGTCGCATACAGTTTTAGTTGCTCGTTGCAACCTGACAATGCCATTCTCTCCCTTCAACTCGTGCACACTACCAGAACCGTCACCTTGTAATTGGCGTCCGATAATTGACTAACGCAGCGAGCATGGTTGCACTTCGAAAAAAATCGTTTGACCTGGCACACCATATGCCGCGAACCTGTTCATCTTGTGGCATTCTGATCCTCCCGCCATATGTTTTGCTAACATTTCTATTGACAGGCAGCTACTATTTACTTCCGCCTGACTGTCTTCTCTCGGAAGGATGACATCTACAAAGAAAAGCTAATAAAAGAGCTTTCGCGCCCAGTATTTTTATAGACTTATCCTCAAAATCCTATTAAAAGGGACAGTGGGATGAACATATTAGCTGCACTTGTAACTATCGAAGCATGCAAGAGTACAAAACTACGCCAGTTTTGTGCCAACTTAACAGAAGCCTGAGATTTTGTGACGGCAATCTTTACAATTGCCTGCCGGTTAAAGGCAAAATAAGTGATGCACTGGTGACTTCGCCTGTCTGTTTTTATTCGTGTGCACCTAGAATTTTTCACAATTTTTGCTCAACGTAGAGTGCAGTCATTTCTTTGTCGTTAATTATCGCCACCAATTCTCGGGTTCCAGTCATACTCACCACTTTCTGCAGGTGTATTAAAACGATGGTACTAAAATGGGTCGGAAGCTAAAAACCGATTTCACTCATCAGAGACTCATTGAACAATGATGATCCGATTGCTACGAAAGAAGCCACTTAGTTTAGTGACAAAAGGATCCATTATTTGTCCAATCGGCAGTACAGATGGGAAGAATAAGCTTAATTTAATGATTTGCAGTTGGTTGAATCTACATGTCAAAAACATGAACCAAGGTCTCAAGAAAGCAGTCATCCTTTGAAGTAAGGAATATTCCATACTTTAAAGGTCCTGGAATGAAGATTTCCGAATTGGGGGTCAGCTTGTTCAAGATGGATTGACTGATTTTTCAGCCATTGAATTCCGTCAAAATGAAAGGAATCCAAGGGACCTATCTCAGGAGACGATTTTATCCATCCTCATTCACTTGTTTTTCTCCTCTGACTGTTCACATTTATTTTTGCTGGTGTTTTTTATTCGGACGTGATAATGTTAGGGGAAGGCATGGGTCTAAAACGGGGTGGGGGCAATACAACTGTAGCTGGTGCTTTGATCAAATAATGTGAATCCGCTTATTCACTGGAGAATGACCTAACATTTGTATGTTTCGGGAGACCTTGCGAGGTCTGTTGGTGAAGACAGCGGAATGTGAGGAATTAAGTGTACAACAAAGGTAAGGTGCATCGATGGCTCGGTGCTCTATGGAGAAATAGCCCTTTGCTATTTCAGTAGTTTGTAGTTGTTACTGTTACCGGCTTTTTGATGAAATAAAGTAAACTCTAATCGGTTACATGAGATGGGCGCTTTAGTTTGTATGGCCAGCATATCTATGTGTTGTATTCAGTCGTGAAACGTCCATTCCGGGTAGATTCATCGATATCCCACTCGAACGCCTTTCGGTGCCTTCGTTAGGTGACATGTTCGCCGGTGCTGATCCTTTGTGTGTGGTTGTATCATCATTATTTGATGTTGTTCCAGCGAGAACTTTTAGTTCTTCCGGATTTATCAATGAGGCCAATCTGCGAGTAAAATGGGTCGATTAACCAGGTGGTGTTAAGATGGCTACATTTTCAATATGCATCATGAATCACATACAAAATTTTGAAAATAGCAGCAGTACTAAACAAAATAATACTTATTGATGACAGCTAGGAATTGCAAGTATTTCACAGCCCACTGGAATGCCTTCTTCTCTTGATATCTTGAGGATAACGGCAATCTTTTAAAAGGTAGCATTTTGTCCCTCAAACAGAACAGGCTATTTTAAAAATTGATCGAAGTATGTCACGGATACCGAAAATTCTAACCAGTTAGACGATATTGTCCGGTAGCCACTAAAATTAAAACCTTATGCTGACACTCTAAATATGCTTTCAAAATCACTAATTAATGGTTGACATTTGCATTTCATTAGGCCTTGATCCTGAAGAAAAATATTTTTTTACTTGGCAAGATAAAAATAAAATATCACCTTATACAAATGGGTCGTAAACGATTGCCAGTTTTCATGTCGTATGGAAGTACTCATAGGAGACTTACCCGTGATTATCACCCCTAAAAGAAACAAGGAAATAGAGGAATTTTGTCATGAGATTTGTTGTAACAGAGCATAGATAAGGAGTTACGTGCTAAGTGTGGATATGCTGGTAGTCGAATGCTGTCCAGGCTGAAATCTCCAGCTGATAACAAAATGTGTCACACTGTTTTAAGTCTTCTAACAGGACTGTACAGTTCCGTCAGTTGAATGGTGACTTTTATGAAATATAAATTCAAACAGTCCTACTTCAGTATGGGCAACAGAAGATAACAGCTGGGACTGCCTGGGTTCTCTATAAACAAGACGGTAACAGCCGCCTAATGCAGTGCTGATGGCGCCACCTTGCTATGGTTCACTAGTTTAGCCCCCGTGTCTTTCAAGTTACAAGGTAAAAAGTGCATGCATATAGGTAGAGAACCGTTTTGTGAAATTCCGGATGCCTCAAGTTCATTAGCCAACTTCTGCCCAAATTTCGCAATATCAGCCACCTAGATAGACCATACTGAACTGTGCGACCATGTCACTGCCACAATGAACCATCAGTGCTGTGTATGCACAATGAGTATTCAGACTCGAAGATTTTCGGCGTGAACAGACGGTCGATTGGCGATGAAAACGACCTACATAGAGGCCTGAGATGGCTCTACTCACACCTAAACACCGTGCGTGATTGTCATTGGATCAGGATTTCGCAGGTCCTTCGATTGCCGATTTCTTACGACCAATAGCGATAAAGAGCTAGACCCGGCCTCAGCTTTCAACGTCAGGGTAGTCAAACTACAGGGTGAAATACTGTGTCCCTTTAGGAAGGACTATCACGTTGTTCCAAAGGAGTTTAGATGCATAGTACCTGAACATGGTACTTGAACATTCAGACTCTCACTGATTATGAGCTAGAGTGCCACTGAAGTACAAAAAAGTCAGGTTTATGGAACAATATCTTGCACGGCTTGGGAGCAATAGGCAAAAAGGAAGCATTTCCGTCATCATAACGAATTGAGACTTACTCATGAATCTCAGGTGGGATGGGAAGTGGCTTGCTGAAGCCGTCTTTTCCGACCAACCAAAAGGAGTCGACTTCACCTTTGCCTTTCAGAGTTACCTTTCCTCGAAGTTCCAAATGATAACCACCAAGGTCGTCCAGAATTTCTTTTGTTGTAGGACTCACATGGATTCGAAATGCTAGACGATTTTTGGAGAACCGAAGTATATTTATCAAAAAAGGGAACAGAAGTATTCACCAACAACTTAGATTAGTCTTCAGCTAAGATCAGGCCCAAACGAATTATCAGCCAAAACGTTTAGAGATTTTATTGAATACCATGCTGCGGACAGTACTCTTATTCTGTTGGGGTTTAGTAATGGTCGGGTAAAGTTAGTCATACAAGGGATGCGGTTGGTCTCGTCTGCTTCTGTGTATAAGGGTCCCCGAACAACAATATCGCTAATTAGTACCATAAAGATCCATGCGGAAGCGACTTTCAAAACGCACTCTATATGCATTTTACACAGTAGTCAAAGCTTATAAAAAAGATTATGCGTCGCCTAGTCTAGTGACGGGTGATGATGGAGCTAAGGGGCACAAATTGACCGGACATCACGTTAAAAGCTACAATAAATGACTCGAACCGAGTTTTTAGGTTTTATGGACAATTTGCATACAGGTTTCAGAATAAATATACTTCCTATTATTTTGAACCACCAGAAATTCTCATCAAATTTTGGCTGAAGACAAGAACTTGATTCTGCGAGAACTTATTAGATCATCGTAAGTGAACTTGTGTGAATAGCGGCTTGTCTTGGACACACTGTCGCATCTCCTTTGCGTTTAGAGAGTAATAATGGCAAAGTGATTTTATTAACGTCTGTTTGGGTACCTCAGAGTTTATCAGATGAACTAGCCCACACAAATGGCCGAAGATAACAAAAGTGTAGCGGTAAAGTTTACCATTTACTTATTGTTTAGAACATTCAATTTTGTGCCAGCAAAAGTTCATGGTGTTGAACTGGTCAAGGGTAAAATTATTCATCTTGCGTAGCCAACAAAACCCAGATGCTCAGTTCAGAGAATTCTCGGCCAATGGTTAACACGACTGAATCCAATTATTCCCATAAGCACTACTTCCTACTGTTGCTTGGAATTTTCACCACGTTGCTTATTTACTTGCTTCAGCATTCATCAGTTTAACCCCGATTATCAGAAAACTTGTCAGCTTGCCTGTTTATGGTTTTGTGGTTAAATTACCATGCATACATTGTCTGTTTCTCCAACGAAGTATTAGTGTCACCCCCGATTAATTGTTCATACGAAGTTTTTAATTTGGCTACAGAAAGGTTCCATTTCAGTAAATGAGGCATACATTCGCAAGTAATCACTGAGATAAGTGCGTCATACTATGGGCACAGATGATGAACGGTTTCCACTTACCACGAGATTAATTAGACTGAAACACAAGTCAGTTAGATCAGTGATAGCATACCACATGTTAATGTGGACGCCAAAATACGTTCACAACCCCTCAGGCCCTATTCACGCTCTGGCTGTTCATAGGCTGTCCCCCTGTAAATGTTATATGCAAACGGTATTTCCGATCTGTACACCCATCCAGAGTGACAAGTTCACTGCCGAAAAATATCCTGGTATTAAGGAACATCGTTTGAACTGACATCCCAGCTGATAAACCCTTATAATAAAAATGTTTAGATTGTATCACAGGGTGGTAAATCTTAAGGACATAATCCACCATGCCTACGGACTAATATGGACTCGTTAAGCGGATCAGTAGCTTGACGATTCAAGTAACAGTGTGAAGTGTTGTCCATGGAATTTACCGGCCGCCGACCATAATGTGCAAATTGACCGTAAAAAGAGGTCTCCTGATTTGGCCCATCCGAAGAAATTTTCGGGGGACGTGAGTATTGAGTTTGCCATAAGGGGTACACAGAGCAACCTAGGCAGTTCCGCAAATGTACGAAAATCGAGCAACGGACCAGGAGCTTTAAAATACAAAGAATCTTTCAATCACAGAACAGGCAAGGCGGCTTTCTATGGCACAGTTAGGTAAAACAAACGTTACTACTTTATTTATGCGCTCAGATTAAAACTAGCTTTCAAGATTGGGGTTTATTGCGTCTCACAATGGTGCCCGTAGTTTAGCAAAGGTAAGAAAAGGAAGTTTGTCAATGAAGTTTTCCGCAACTCGATAAGGGCCTCAGTTAAAAACACACGATTTTTCATCAAACTGTTCCTTGTGTAAACAAATTTCACGTGTGCACCAGACTTACCTGCTCCGGTGGATTCCATCCTCGACGCTGTGTTAACGGTGTCTCCAAACAGGCAATAGCGAGGCATCGTTAGACCTACAACACCGGCAACGCACGGACCTGTAGTAACGAGGGAATCAGATAACTACTGTGGTCACAGGACGAAGAATTTGTGGCAGCGTACGGTTTCTCCGATGTGTCCATTTTTAAAATGGCTGTAAAACAACCGTTCTAGCTTAGAATCCTGTTTGTTCTAAGGTTTGTTGCCTAGATTGGGATTTTTCTAATAGGCGAGCAGTGATCATAGTCCCAATACCTTTGCATATACCATTATTATGTACGATTACCATTAATCTATGTTGATAATAACCCGCTCTGGTTTACTTTTCTAGTACATCCTGCAACAGGATTGTTAGCTTGAAAGCTACAGTTGTTCGATGCAGATTTAAGACCGTCGGAGCGAAAAACTTGAATCAAGTGTGACAACCGTTTGCTTTAGCAAAAGATTCTCTTTTAAAAAATTCCATCCCAGAATCACAACCAGGGACTCGCTCTGGGTATCTGTCCAAATCAAACGAATGTGACTGCTAACGGAAGCCCTTATCATGCAGAGCCTGGAAGAATGCTTATTGGCCTGACAAACACTCCTGACTCATCTGTCTAATTTTTTTTAACTACTATATCCAGCTGATGTTTATTATACCATTACCGTTACTCGCATTTTCTTAGCCTTTCTGACCAGATATAATTCGATTTCTCGTCTAAACGGTAAGTCAGTTAACTGTGTAGTTAATATATCCAACTAAACGAGACTCACCGGAATGCAGTCCGATCCGCAGTCGCAGTGGCATATTTGGCATGTGACGAATTACAAACGTCCCACACTGACTGAGCAGATCCAATGCCATGGTGGCTATTTCTCCAGCGTGCAGTCTGCCATTACGAGTAGGGAGTCCCGACACAACCATGTACGCGTCTCCAATGGTTTCCACCTTGAGGTGTTTCCAACAAAAATAACAAAATCAGAGAGTGCGTACAAAATACATCATTGAGAATTAGAATTAGGGGAAAACATTTGTTAATTTATAAACCTTACTGCAGTATATGGATGAACAAACGCTGTAATAGATGAAATCTGTTTCTGGAGGCAGTACACCCAATCATACTGTGACGATGTCCTCTTGACTGGTAGCTGAATGTTTGCAAGCCATGTGCCAAGCTTGTCAAAAAGCTCAACAGCCACCTGATTGTCTTTTACCAACCAAGCTACCGATATCTTGACATATTTCGGAGGGAGGGTATGTATGACACAAAACATCTATCGTGAACTCGAAGCATTTTGGAATTTGACTTTGGAAGCAAAAGTTAGAAAAATGTATAGGGGATACTAGGGGTCTAAAATAACTGAAAGTAAAAGGTCATTTTTCAGCAGTGTTCTAATAAATTTTCATACATCCGTAAGTGCGAAATGCAGGATAGTCAAAAGCTGTGTTCTTAAAATTTTGAACTCCCACCCGAAATTGATGACGCCTCAAAATCGTGTTGGTTTTCTCCTTGAGATATAGTTCATTTTACCGGATGACTTCACCAAGACCTCTTTGACTCATGTGATCAGGAAAGAAAAAGTCTTGGAACTCGGGTATACATGATCACTTTGAATGTGCTGAATTTTTACTGTGCGAAATTTAACGATTTTCGGTGACAGATTTTAGGAGTGTTTCAGAAGTAGGTACTACTTCTGGAAGGAACAAATGACTATCAACGAAGAGTGACTTTTCTTGAAGGCAGTCCCTTTCTTACTTAACAAATATACTTCAGTGGTCGATCAGATTTGTTTATTCTTCTGAGACTGATTATCCCTGAGAAGAAGGACTTGTGCCATAAATCGCGCAACTAAAAAGTTTCTACGGGCTTATTAAATATAATCTGACATAAAGCCGTAAAACCAAACATGGACTGTCCAATTCAAGGGGCAAGAACAAGGCATAGTCATCTCTTGTTCACTACAGCCGTTTTCATCCAGTAATTTTCAGTCGGCGCACTCTGAAGATCCTCTAATTTCCAGTTCTTCAGCGTGATCGAGAGAAACACGGCATTAACGCGCATTCACTGAAAAACTGCGCCCCGCATTTTATGTTGGATGCTATGTTGTACCAGCTTCCACTATCCATGCTGAACACGTCAAAAAGGCAGAAAAACCTTACCTTTTGTGTCTTAGAGAACCTCTATCCGGTCATTTGTATGGAGGTATGTAAAATAAGAGCCTATCATGAACATAAAATGGAAGCACTAAATAGTATAGTTGAAAATATAAACCTAAATGTGGCAACACTCACCTTATACACATCGTAGTAGTCAATCGTTGAATCAAACATCGTGTATAGATCATTCAACAAGTCAACCACTTGAAGAGGCGTGGACATGGCTGAGATAGTCGTGAATCCAACGATATCACTGAAGTAGATAGTGACTTCGTCAAAAGCCTCCGGCTCAACAGGTCTACCGGACATGAGGTTTTCAGCCACAACACTGTAGGGTGGAACGAGAGAAAATAGAATGTTGTGTCCGTCCACAAGCTCAGTGGCAATAATCCAAACTCTTACATGGGAAGAAGGGCCAGGTGATTATGTTACTATACACAATAGGCCGATTTTCATAGGTGATCAGTCTGTACTACTTCAGTGAAGCGTTTGGTGAGCCTAGAGGTGGTAAAGCGCATTACGTTTAAGTTACTCTTTCATCGTTTCAAGGGAAATCCATTGTGCGAAGGTAGTACCTGTGGATGCAAATTCAGTAGTAAAACGATGCTTACTTGTGCTACAGGAAACCTGTCTACCTGTTTAAGTATCACCGCAACTAAAGAACCGTCTTATTCCGGGACGCTTTTAAAACTATTTTGGAGCCATCGGCACGCCAACGAAGTGGACAAGAGACGTTGAACACAAGTGGGTTGACGAACATGTTTTCGGCAAGGTCTTTTCAAGTCATACAACTGCAAAGGTTAAGAGAGCGGTATTTAACATATTTGAATGAGTATGGTGTAAATGGACAGGGAATCGAGTGAGATGACATTGGCTACCTATCCTAGACATGCAAAACTCGCCCTATCACCAAATCGCACAATGGCTCGTCAAAATGCTTGAACCAATACGGCGACAAATGTGTCAATACAGCTTGCGAGATACGTTTCAATTCGTGGACTCAATAAAGGACCTAGAACTGAAAGATTCGTTCATGTGTTCAATGGACGTGACTTCACTGTTCACTAACGTCCCCTTAACTGAAACGATTAACCACCTATGTAACTACATAGAAGCAAATAATTTTCACCTACCTATTCCAGTGAACGAGCTGCGTGAACTCGTCCTGCGATGCACATTGAATGTGCAACTACTGTTCAATGACATGCTCTACCGTCAAATTGATGGCGTTGCCATGGGCTCACCACTGGGCCCAATGCTAGCCGACATTTTCATGAGTAAACTTGAAAATGGTCCCTTAAAGGCTAACATTGAGAATATGCAACACTACTGCCGATATGTTGACGACGTCTTCGCCGTTGTTAACAACAAAGACGAATTGGAGTCACTCCAACAAGAGTTCAACAAGGCCCACACTGCCATTCAATTCACCTCGGAGGGAGAAACAGACAACTTTTTCCACTTCCTAGATGTTGGCCTTGAACGACGTCACGATGGTACACTGAAACGATCGGTGTACCGAAAACCTACTTGGTCAGGTCAATACATCAACTTTAGCAGCTTCGTGCCACTAAAGCAGAAACGGAACCTGATCCGCAGCCTAACTAACAGAGCGAAGAAAATATGCTCTGAGGATGCACTGGAACAAGAATTCCGAACTCTCACCAACATCCTGAGAGACAATGGATTCCTCGACAAATTTATCACAAAACATTTGAACAGGAAAGAAGCAACCACCATCACAGCCACAGCTGGAAGGAAACCAGTTCACATTAGCCTCCCGTTTAAGGGAGATATACCGGCCGATCTACTGAACAGAAAACTTTCCACCAGTCTGAACAAGGTTTTCCAGGCCGCAAAACTCCGAACCTGGTTCACCAGCAATCGTTTCTGCCCCTTTAATCTCAAGGATAGGGTGCCTGTCCACGCCCAAAATATGCTAGTTTACTCATTCTCTTGCTACTGTGCACGGGAATACATCGGACGCACGACTAGGCAACTCGGCCAAAGAATGAAGGAACACAACCCACCCTGGCTAGCTTCTGGAACTAGAGTACGATA